TAGACAAATGTACCTCAGAATACTTTAGAATATGTATAAATGTATCACTAAAATTGTATTACACGAAGTATTAATTTCACCGATGACAGTAGACATAAGTCACTGTTACTGTGTAAAAAGGTAGAAAGTGTTTTTTCATCTTATTTGTAATGTAGCTGTTCAATGTTCAAAGCACAATTTGGTAGTGATTGATAAAAAAATGGATCAAATTAGGTTGTTTTCGAAAGCAAAGAATGATTTTGATACTGATCAAATCTATCTATATGACCTTCAATATACTCATAGGCTTTCAAATAACACAGCACCTATCACTATTATTATAGTTGTGAATAATACAACTGAACGTTTTTCTTCAAATAAAACTGTTATGTTCAGAAAACAGTTATATATATATCATAAAAATTGGTTTTATTGCTTTTTACATTCTGTGATGATCAGATCTAATGAAAAGCATTAAAATGGATACTTGTGAATACTATTCTGTCATATAAAAATTCTGTAAATTGGATTTATTTCCTGCGACAGGATTAGGGCCTGGAAATGCCATTTGAACCCCATGCACTGTTTTAGATATTTATTCATATACTTTCTACAGTCACTACACTTACTATGAAGTGATTTTCGTATAATCTGCGCACAAAATATTTTAGGTAGTTGAATATTACACATTTTAAATCATCAACCAATCACTGTTAGGTCAACATTAGAAACCTGAAAACACTAGACAGCCGTTTCGTCCTGGTATGGGACTCATCAGCAGTGCGCATCCATGACTCCTGCACCTCGCAGGATTCAAACCCGGGACCTTCGGTATTGTTCGCGAACGCCTAACCATCGGACCACTGGGCCGGCATCTAACGGTATCTTTAAGAGTACCATCTCATTTCATTTAAAATATATGACTCCTCGATCTTTATTATATAATAACATAAACTGGGTATAAATATGGCTACGACGACTATATGTACAGAGTATACAGAAATCACCCAAAGAAAGCAAATAATTCTTTAACCATAAGAAAAGAATGAGATCATGGAGTTCCTTAAAGTGTTTTACTCCCCTATTTCTCTGTTCCTTAATGTTGATGATTTGCTTTGCCTTCCTTGCTTTTCACCGATCATTCTAGTTTACGATAATTTCCAGAGAATTTCTTTGTTGTATCATACAACTATCTCGTGTTTCCTTCTCTTGCGGATGCAATACATAAAACAGTATTAGAGTAGATTTATTTATTCAGTGGATATTATTGGATTGTATATGAAATGATTATTGAACTGTAATCAATTTAATACTCATGCTTAAAGCGACAATGAGATTTTACCATTCAATCAATTAAACCTTACTAGTATGGTTGAACTAAAAAAACCTGGAAAGTTCACATTTTTGAAGTACATCAGTATGTTCTATAACGAAAATCACTTTATGCCGTATATTTTTATTTCTTACTCATTTCAACTAACTTTGTACACCGTTTTCACAGTGAAGTAAACGCTTATTCAGCTGTATCACATAAATACTTATAATTAAATGTATGTATTGCATTTCAACTGTCGTATGACTGATAGGAAAACGTTCATCTGACAATAAATGGTTACATTTTGGAGGATATAAATTTGGTTTCTAATTCTATTAACTCTGATCTGAAAATATTCATTTTTAATAAGTAATCAACAAAACAATTTCAATGATTAGATTTTATTCAGAATAAACTCAACTTATATCAGTTTCATTATTTAGGTGAATTTGACTAAAAATATATACCATATATCTTTAAACTGTTCAGTTATGATAAACTATCAACCGTTATAATGAAAAACAGTGATGTTAAGCTAACTTAATCGTTATAAATCTTGTAGTTATTCGATCCAGTCTCAGGAAGAGTGTTGCGTGAACAAGAATGAAAAGCATTTCAACCATTTTTTGGCTCAAACAGTTGTTCAGCTAATCAGTTCAACATGAAAACTACTAATACAGTGATTATCACAAGTTTTTCACTGTAACGTTTCTAAACTGTGATAATATTAATTTTTTTATTGTCTACCTAAAATCCTTGTAAGTTTCCTAGATTTATCGTCTCAACAATTTTATGTGTGATGTGTTTTTTTCTACAAAATTCTTTGCCTCAAATGACATAGTAATATGTTTAAACAAAGATCATTACCATAGTTTACTAAACATTAAAGCCTTATACTACTATATCTCTTAAACTTCTCACATTATGCTACTAATAAATTAGAAAAACAGGTTTTTGCTTAGATTATTGAAAATTCATCTAAATATTTAAATGAAATCTAGTGAATATCCATTCAACTGTTGAAAAATTACCATGAGCATCTGGACATTAAGGCATTAACAAAATTAGGCGACATTCCGATGAAAGAAAAGTCATCTATTAAAGGCTACGAACGATAGTTCTAATGATCATTAAGAACCCCAGTTTAATCTTAATCACTTTAGCCAACATAATACATGGGTATATAGCAGTCAAACTGTTTTATGTATGTTGAAAATAAATCATGCCAGTGCATAAAAAGTAAATAATAAAAACGACAAATTGAACAGTTCAAAAATTTGAAACGATTCACTAACAAAACTCCAGTATACAACTTGTCTCATATTTCTTAAAACAGAAAAAATAATAATGATAAAAGTGTAAAGAACCAAACTTTAAACTGTCTGAATGAAGAAAAATGCTTAGACAAATTAAAAATCAACATAACAAATGACTAAATCTCCATCAGATTTTCAATTACTAATGAATATTAATAAATTTGCTTTCTTTTGCCTAGAGAAATGAAAGCATTTTTGTATATATATACATATATATAGATATATATATATATACATATATATGAACTGATTTAATACCTAACTATGAAAGCAGAAAATGATAAACGTTAGCTAACAGACAGACTTATGATCGTTAGTAAATTTTTGACTTCAGTAGTTTAACATACATTTAGTATTCACCTCAATTAGGGTTTCGTTTACTGATTAAGAAAAATACGTATTACATAGATAGGTGCAATTTCATGATTCATGATTCTGTGAATTAGATGTTTTAACTGTATATGTTTTATTAGTTTTTTAATTAAGACTAGTAGCTGACACTTCCTTTTGACAGCTATACGACTAAACCTTACGTTATAGTGGGATATACTGACCTTTGAAGTGAAGAACGAATCAGTTACTTGCCAATAGTATTAGTGTAATATCCATTTTGGAAGGTTTTGTTTGTGAAAATCCCTCCATGTACATACATTTGTAATTTGTTCTTATTGATTCCTTCAGTTGTACATTTTGTTAATCTGTTCGATTCCATTTTGAGATGATAATATTTGTATTGTATTATAGTTTCTATTTATTTTACATTCACTGAGTTTCTATGTTTCCTTCTGAACTGCATTGACGTTGTTTAAGCTGATACTTAATCATGGCGATAGCCATATTGATTTGTTCCTCATATGATTGGATTGCTTGCATTGACTGCAATTGTGCATTTTGATTGTGAATTGAAACACTTACAGAATAATAAACACTCCGTGCTAGAAAGCAACCAAATATTATCTTTCGAATAAATCTGATCTATCCAAAAAGGGATAGAATTTCACTTATTTGTTGCTGTTGATTTGATTAATTGAAGAATTGTTTGTGGAATAACTAAGTGGTGATATTTGTTTAGGTAATGATGTACATTTAAATTTATGATGAATATTAGAACCGTCATTTACCGAATCATTTGTTTTGGTTTCAACTTGGCAAGGTACTTATCTAAACTACCTAGACAGTTATTGCTCAGTCCAAACCTCAGTTTGAATCCTACAATTAATTAAGGATCATAGTACGTCAAACATTGATGTACATTAATTATATGGATGGGATAAAGTAGCCCATCAGTATATTGATTGTCAGTCAGCATAAAGGTGCTAGATTTGCCATTTCTCGTAGTGCTGTATGATATAATACGTTTAAAAGTAATCATAAACTAAAACATAAACAACCAATTCAATTTGTAGTTATTATAAGTGAATGACGTCATACTTGGGGATTAATCAAAACGATCCCCTAAACTTGAGATAATTATTGAGATTAAACCAATCAGCTAATAAAACGAAATTCGAGCATCGGTCACTATCTTGGAATTACTTTCATTTAATACCATGTTAATGATAGGAAATTTCTAGTCATTTAGTGTTTTGCTAACCTTTTATATCAATATAAACTTGAAATAACTGCATATGACGAAAGATATTTTTTTAAACAAACACAATGACTTTTAAATGACGCTTATTATTTTACTGGTATTTTTCAAATAAAGCATTCATTTGAAAAAATATTCAATTATGTTAAATTGTTTTCAATATTCAGTGATGACATTTTATAATGAAATTCATGAACAATTGAAATAATTTTACTTTTCTTTTCAAAGTTAACTTTCAACATTAAAACTAGAAGACCATTGCGAAGAAATTCAATGATCAATAACTACACTTGAAAATTCCCTTTCAATCATCAATGTAAATGTGGTTAATTTTTTTGTCGAATATATGCCTTACAAGTAATTGTTAGTAATATTAGAATTTTAACTTAAACCATGGATTTATTGGTTATTTAGTTCATTTCATGATTGATTAAAGCGACACGATTGAAAATTCAATTCTCAATTTCTTTCATTTGTTTAAAACACTTCACTAATCAGATTATTTCGAGAGTATACTTGAAAAATTGACACTCGAATATTTAAATTACAATTGTGGCCATTAATATCTGTGGTTTCCATCAAAGCAAGAACGAACTTATTACATTTCCATATGACAAACACGTAATCGGATGCAACATTCAACAGAACTAAGAATCAATGTACGATATGACAGATTTAATTCAATTGGAAAAAAGAAAGAACACATTTGATTCATTCTGAAATCAAACTTTATTCGCATAACGAAACATGAATATCAAATATTTTACAAATTTTTTAATTCCGATAACATTTTTAAGTATCTCATTAGTATATGATAACTGGAAGTACATTTTCTATAATATACAATTAACATCAGTAGATCAAAATGGAAAATGTAAATTTACATACAGTTTTTTCTTTTTTTGTCAATTTGATAAACAAAATGGAATATTGTAGAATGTTTCAATCATTCGATTGATACATTAAATTAATTTGTAGATTTGACTATGAACAGGCATGTTATTTATTGAATGTTGGAAAATCTGAAACGAGAAAAGAAATCTACAGTTAGTATGATAAATTCAAATGAACATGTGTATGTGCATAAAACAGTTATCTGTATGTCCTGTCGAAGTTCTCAGATTTAGTTTCTTCTCAATAAACGTGGGTTTTGACACGGGACCTGAAACGCACCATCACCTTTGCATACATACAAGACCACAGTATTTTTCGGTGCATTAAGTAGTGAATATTAAATAACGAGGAGAGAACGGTAGTTATGATTTTCCTGTCAGCTATAATATTAAAAGGATGTCGAAATTGAGAATAACAGGATCAGCAAAAAGCAGTTTGAAGTAAATTTAGGACTCGAATTATCAGTTTTCTCTGAAATTCTACCTAACCAAGTAAATTGAACGCTGGTTATTAGTAATTATATTGGTAATAAGAAAAGACTATTTTATTTTGATATGCTGAACATCAGTTAACACAGAGAGATGCATTGGTGGGAGAGATCGGTATGCTGATAAATGTTGAATAGATCGTATAATGTTGCTGATCCCCTTGAGGAATCAGACATAAAATTTCTGAGGTACTATTGTGAGTCACAAGACAAGCCCTCACATGAAACTTTCAAAGAAAAAGGAAAAGAGGAAGGCCAAGGAACACATTACGCTGAGAAATAGAGAAAGATATGAGAAGAATGAACAAAATTTTGGAAGAACTTGAAAGGGGAGCCCAGGACAGAGTTGGTTGGAGAAAACTGGTCGGTGGCCTATGCTCCATCGGGGGTAACAGTCGTGAGTAAGTAAGTAAGTAAGTATTGTGAGTAAGCGAATAATTCATACGCCCAAATCGACCATTCATTTGTCATGATATCAGTAATCGCAGTTAGTAATAAATGTATCATATTCTGTGTACGTTGTGATTCAACTGTAGGTAATAATGCTTTACATTCAGTTTTGTTTTTTTCTCTTTGCACCACTGATCAGTCACGCTTTAGAAAACGTCTATTCAAGACTAAATTCGATGGGAGAATAAAACGAATACCGGTAAGATGTTTTGGACAACTCTTTCGTATCATGACAAAATGTCTCAAAAGATTTACAGAAGTTTCGATGTTTCATAATGTGTATGATATGATAACGAAACGACATGCTCAAAACAGTTATCAATCGTCGTTACAATATTTAGCATAAACTGTTTCATCTAAATTAAAAAAAAACATGAGGGGGACTTTTACGCCTAGAAAAGACTATTTCTCAAATTTAGTTCTATTTTGCTTACACATTCTTCTAACTCGTTTAATTTCTAAACCGTAATTAATGATTTTCTTGTCAATTTTATTTTTTTTTCAACATAGCATACTTCATTTAATTTCAGATTTTAAACTCTCTCAATGATTGTTTTAAAACTATTTACTACAATTGCTCTAATTATTTTTTTTCCATTCATGAAATCAGTGTCCTTCGAATCAGTTGTATTCAAAAAAATTAGGGGTAACATTCATAAGTAGCTGGAAAAAAATGGTAATTCGAGTAATCAAGTTATACTTTTTTTATTATTTAGTCCAATGACTTTCAGACTTATCCCACACATGAAACTCTTCATTGGATATTTCGTATTATGTGATACACTTCATTTTGAAAAAAATTGATTATCATCGGGAGATTCAAATTCACAACCAACAAACTATGAAAAATGGTGAGTGAATTGCACTGAGTATAGTATTGTATTGTATTTGTAATCATAAACATGAATTCATGAGATTCATTGAAGTAAACCTTAACTCAACACTTTAAAACCGGATAGTCTTTATTCAGCGTTCATTCATCATTTATCAATAAAATCTAATTAACCCAAATAAACACTCAAAGATATACACTTAACAGGTTGTTGGGATTTTTAATGAAGTTTATTGTATTTTTTTGTTAAGATAAACACTTTATGAACTGAAAATATCGTAATATGTGCTAACTAGTGACTAGCTTTGTGGGGAAATTCTCAGAGTTCTAGTGGGAAGACGTGACCAATGGAGTTCAACCCTGTCGGATGTAGGCAGTAACTACCAAAGACAAATGGGTGAGGTCGCGCAAAATCCGTAGATCAATCAGAGTTATACATTAACACCGTTGGATGCCAGCCCAGTGGTCCGATGGTTAGGCGTATGCGCATAATACCGAGGGTCCTGGGTTCGAATCGTGCGAGGTGCAGGAGTCGTGGATGTGCACTGCTGATGAGTCTCATACCAGGACGGAACGGCCATCCAGTGTTTGTGTGTTTCTAATGGTGGTCTAACAATGATTGATGATTTCAAATATGTAAAAACACAAATCTCCAAAACTCTAACTGAAAACGATTAGAATAAGTTGGCTAGAAAATTTCCTAATTTATGATCACTTACTGTAGAATAAGAAATTAAATATTAAAAAAATGATCTAATTTGATTTATCTGACATAAAATATTCATTTGAATGAATTATATTTCGCGCTTTTAATATGATATCAATAAGTTAGAGATTTTCCATCTATTGATTCTTATCTAGTTTTGATTTTTTTTATGGTGATGAATAGTTTTGTAGACAAATTTCATGATAAAAATCTAAATGAAGTGGAAAATGTTATAACTGATTAAAAATACAACTCGTGAATATTATGGATCATAATGTTTTGTTTTGAGAATTATTTGCTTGCTGACAGTTTTAAGTTGCTACAGTTTCCGACTCTCGGGTTACTTACTTACGTCTGTTACGCTCCATGGAGGATAGATCGCCGACCATCGTTCTCCAACCTTCTGTGCCCCAGGCCTTGCTTTCTAGTTCTGTCCATTTTTGGTTCATTCTTCTCATGTTTGTCTTCATTTCTCTGCGTAATATGTATTATGGTCTTTCGCTTTCCCGCTGGTCCTGATGATTCCAAGTTAGTATTTGTCCTGTGACGCAGTCCAGTGCTTTCCTCAGTGTGTGTCATATGCACCGCCAGTGTTTCTTTCTGATTTCTTCAAGTGTTGGAATCTGGTTTGAACTCTCCTACAGCTGGTTGTTGCTGATGATGTTTGAACAATGGATACTCAGTGTCTTGAGCAGACAACGTTTAAGATACACCTGCATCTTTAGGATAGTGGCTTTTGCAGTTCTCTAGCTTTCCTCTCCAGACAATGGAACTGCCTTAACGCTTGTATTAAAAATTTCGACTTTGGTGTTGGTTGACTCCTTTTTTGAGTTACAAATGTTTTTCAATAATAGAAATACGTCCCTTGATTTGCTAATCTGTCCATTCGTGTTTGTATCATATCCACCTTGTTTATTAACGATGCTGCTCAGGTACGTAAACGTTTCCGCATCGTCCAATGCTCCTTCGTCAAGCGTAATTTGGTTGGAGTATATTACGTTGTATCAGATGATCCTGTTTTTTCCTTTGCGCATGTTTGGCTGCCTCTGTTACACTGGTCGTCTAATGCATTTGTTGTTATGTGTGGTATAGAAGAGTTAGATCAACTTCGAAGTTCATATAGTCCATGCTTTTCTTTATATGAACGTCTTCAAAATCCACTTGAGCACCGGGAGAAAGAGAAAGGGTGATAGTAAGCAACCTTGCCTGTATTCACTCTGAACGAATCTATGAGCTTTCCTGCATGCACAATGTTGCAGTGCAGTTCTGAGTAGGAATTGTGTATGATGTTTACTGTCTTTTCAGGTACAACTTTATTTCGAAGAAGTATCCACTATCATCCTGAAACCCTCCTAGGGTCACTACCAACCTGGAGCTCGGATAAAGGAGGAGGGTTTGACGACCCTATCCTGTGGAGAACCAATTTGCTAAAAAATGCTAACCCAAATAAATAAAATTGGGAATAAGTTCAGAAATTAAGAATCTTTTTGAGTTTTAAAGTTAGTTTTTAACGTTTTACAATCAATCATTGAGATGAACACTCAATGACCTGCTTTCTAATATATTTCCATAACAGAATCACTGATTGTTCAAAATATCAACTCGAATATTTGTTCTACACACACTCTCCACTTATCCACCACCTAATTCTGTACAAGGGAATGAATAACTAAGCAATTGTCACAATGATATTCAATAAAAATAGATACAATTCGATGTAAAAAGATTATCTTATTTCTTGATGCCTTAACAACTACTACTCACTAAAACAATTGTACTACTAATATGACAAATGCAATAAATGCCAATTGCGATAGCAACGATAATAATAATAAGAGCAATAACAGTAATAATAAATGACATAAGTAGTACAGTTCGAGAGCATAAAAATTAATTCAATAAAAAATCAAACAAATCGAATTTACATATAATGATTTCATTATTGGTCATGATGAGTCTTAATTTGATTTTCGCATTTGACTTTCAACAAAATAAAGGAAAACAAAATCACAATAACAGGATGACAACAACTAAGAAGCAAATTATCAGCTTAAATAAATGTTATTGTATGTGGATGTATGTATGTTATTTACATACAATAGTTGTGTATTGGCTTTTTACTGTGAACTACTTTCATTGTTGATGCGTTTGGAGTTGAAAGTGTTTATGCTGTAATAATAATAATAATAATAATAATTGGCTGTCTATTGTTTATTGATTAGAGTTGAATTTTTGTCTATTTATTCATTAGTTTAGTTATTTGAGTAATTTGCTTTAAGTTTAAAAAAAAATCAACAAAATATTCAATTGAAAAGGGCGTTGAGTATGAAAAGAATTTTATTGAGTAAATTACTTAAACTTGTATGGTATTCTTCTGTAAGAGCTTTTAGTAACTAGTAACCTATTAAACAACATACATGCTCCGTTATTCAGTTTAAGGTCTTTTCGATGATGCAGACATATGATTACATATATTCTCGAATCAAGAATCAAGATTTGGGGTGATCTTGATACCTTTTAAGCTATGTTTGAATGTGAAAGACCATAAATACGCACAGTTTGATTGACACAAGAAATAGCCTCTGTGATTTTGGCCACATTTCAGGTCAAAACAGTGGTTCCCTTTGATCAATTTGAACAAAGAAATGAGAAG